ACGGTAGCCCATGGCAACCCACTGCCACAGGAGCTGCAGCCTACGCTGTTGCCAGCGACTCACAGCAGCCCAGCTCCAGGTCGAGCTGTTGTTCAGCATCTTAGCTGTAGAGGGCAGTGTCACTGGCCCAGATATGTGAGATCCGAACTGGGGCCTTTTGGGTCCCAAGCCAGCTCTTAACCATCGCGCCACTCGGCTGGCCCTAAAATAATATATTTTAAAGATTGGTGGGGGAGCAAAAGAAGACACGGGACCCCATGTTGCAAAACGACCAGAGCGTGCCATTTACAGTGACGGTGTCTCCCTGGATTGGGCTGACACGGTGGCCCTGAAACCCCACCTCTCCTACTAGGGCAGACATTGCTAATCAATCACAGGCCCTGCTTATCCAGCACCAGGCTTTCAGAATCCTCTTGCACTCAGGGGACCCCGCAGCTTCCCCAGAGCTGATTTATGAGTTGCCACGTATTTGCCATCATTAGCTCAACGACCTCCTTGAAATAGATCTGAGAGAGCTGGGGACGCAGATACTGCAGACCTGGTCACTCCTTTATTGGAAGGGGTATGCACTGTTGCATCCTACAAGCCTGTGAGCCCAAAGAGATTTGAAGTTCAAGATTCATTTGGCTTTCTTTGATGTCATAATGGCCCTGAATAAAACCACGGTTACGGCAACTATGCCAGCGCCAATACACCTGGATGATGCGGGCGGCGTGGAGCAAACGGCTGTAGCGCAGGCGGACGCACCACATGCGGACCCAGGACTGCAGCCTGACCGCCGCCCACTCGCTCCGCGCATATGAATCTAGGGTTGCCCGCCGCCTCTCCTCCAACAGCGTAGCCAGCTTTTGCTTCCACCAGCGCTGAATGATCCACGCGCTGAGCGCCGCGTGCAGCAGCGTCCTGCGCACCAGGGTGCCCCGCCACCAGGCCTGGAGGATCACGACTGCTTTCTCTTGCGTTATACTGATCTTAACTTGAACTCTTCTGAAGCCTTGTAAGAGAAAATGGACACTTAGGAAACTCATACATTTCGGCCAGGAAGGGGCCCTGATCCTCTATCATCAATAGCCCTTTTCTCTGCCGTTCAGGAGAGCCGTTAACAACAGCTCGACCCAGGAGACCTACTAAGTGTCCTGCTTAGGCCACTCTGATTCGATGTATCCTCTTGCCCTCTGCATCGCAAGGGCTCCATATGTAAAATGGAGGCACACCTGCACCTGCAGCCTTACCCAGTTTTAAATGGACCTGGTTGTCCAGTCTAGAACAAGATACTCCATTATCTAGAGCTGAAACCTGGACCTGACCACCTACCTGAGATCATGTCTCTTCCCTTCAGGCCCTCCCATCTGCTGGAAAAACAGCATCCTTTGCTCTCCCTGCCCTCTCACCTCCCACTTCAGGTTAAACCTGAGACCTGCTGTCTCCCTTCTCCTCAACCAAAGTATTAAGATTCCTCCACCTCACACACTTGATTAAGAGCTTAAACACCAGTTAACACATGCATCAGTACAAAGTTACACATACGCGCGCGTGCATGCACNCTTTATCTTTGGGTAAAGAAAGAAGTCATTGGGGGCCAGATCAGGTGAGTAGGGAGGGTGTTCCAATACAGTTATTTGTTTACTGGCTAAAAACTCCCTGATAGACAGGACGTGTGAGCTGTTGCATTGTCGTGATGCAAGAGACATGAATTGTTGGCGAAAAGTTCAGATCATCTAACTTTTTCACGCGTCCTTTTCAGCACTTCCAAATAGTAAACTTGGTTTACTGTTTGTCCAGTGGGTACAAATTCATAATGAATAATACCTCTGATATCAAAAAAGGTTAGCAACATCGTTGCAACAAGTTTGTAAACTTAATTGTAAGACGTGTGTGTGCGCGCGCGCGCGTGTCTGTATTTTTTCTGTATATTGTGACATTTTGACATCTTTAAAAAAATAATCCCTTTCTGGCCTGGGAGAGACTGCCCCTCCCATGACTAGCCAGTTCTTAGAGAGGGAGAAGGACTCAGCCTTGAGCATGCCTTTCATTTGCAAACTAACCAATCCAGAGCCATCCCTCCTCTCTGTGGCCTGTACATCCAAGAGGCACCATTCCTCTGCCTTCCTCATCCCAGGTACCAGGCATCTGGGGATGCCCCCCCGCCCCGCCCTCCATAGCTTGGAGCCCAGTCCTAAACCAGTTACGCGGCCCTGCCTTGCCTTTCCCGCTCCCATAAAGGCCATGGCAAAATCTCTTTCCTCACTGCTGTCTCCTGCCACCTGACCAAAACCTGATGCTTCTCCTGTGACCCTGTGTGATATATGGTGACCTCCTCTAAGACCTGAGAGCCTGTGAGTATATTAAATTTTGTTTTCTTGTGTCTCACCTATTCTCTTGTGGCTAGACCTGGCTGACCATTACATAAAAGAACATTTTATATATACATATAGATATAATATTTAAGTGCAATTCACATAACCATTTACAGATTAACCACATAGTATTAATTATTAACATAAGGTTAACAATTCAGTGGCATTTAGTACGTTCACAGCTGAATACTATCATCTATGCATTTATCCAGCAACCGCTATCATCTGTAGCAAGTTCTAAAATGTTTCTATCATCCTAAAAGAAAATATTAAGCAATCACTCCCCGGGACCCCCTCTTCCAGCCACTGGCAATCTCCAATCTGTATTCTGTCACCAGGATTTACCTGGTGTGGACTTTTCATATAAATGGAATAAAAAAATATTTGCATCTGGTTTCTTCCACTTAACATGATGTTTTCAGGGTTCATCCACATTGCAGCATGCATCAGTACTCCATTCATTTTTATGGCTGAGTGATAGTCCATCATATGAATGGACCATCTTTTGTTAACTGTAATGGTTATGAAACCAGAGCTGCTGGGGACACCACAGGAAAATAGCTTCCAGAGAATGGAGCCAACACGAGGAAAGCAGAGTCAAAAGATGGAGATGCCTCTGGATCCAACCATGTCTGAACCTACCACTAGCTATACTATGGGAATTCTTAGTTTTGTGAGCCAATTAACCTCCTTTTTCACTTAAGTCAGCTTGTTAAGACAGATAACAAAAGAGCAGGTGACCTCAGCAGATTAATAAACACTTAGATGTGATTGAATTTTATGTGAGCTGCTTTTCAGGAAGTGGTTTTCAAAAACTGGTTGAATTAGGAACTGGCAGAAGGAATGTCTAGGGAATTCTCGACAAGAAATGTGGGAGTATCTCCCAGCTAATGTGCTCAAAAGAACAGATCACTCTTTTTTTTTTTTT